TCTCTCTCTCTCTCTCTCTCTCTCTCTCTCTCTCTCTCTCTCTCTCTCTCTTGTCTAAAATTAGAACCATCTCACATTTCATAATTTTTTGTTGCGTCGATCATTTTCAAACGAGTGGCACACGGTGATATTACATTTAAAACAAAATAAACAACGACGAAGATGAACGAAATGACAATAATGTATACTGTATGTTTACTTGTAAGATTGAAACAGTTCGGCCATTTTTGCGCAATACATGCCGAATCATTAATTTTAGAACTATAACGACGACATAGTCAAACAACTAAAAACTAAATCACAATGTGATACAGTTGCCATGCAAAGGGTTTTATATAGATACACACACAAACGGAAACATGTAGGAATAATGTGAAAAATAAAAACGCATGATAGATTAACAACAATCATAATGGACATTTTGTTTAATCGAATTTCTTTTTCTTTGGTTTTCATTTCCAATTTCGTCATTGCTTAAATAATTACATACAAATTCAATCGAACTTTGCCCAGTGTGAATGATACATTGAAATAAACAAAAAAAAATGGTTTCACTTGCAATTACCGGCCGGCTTACTGACTCTGCGTTTACAGCACATATACGTAGTGCAGTGTTGTCGTAAACAAATCGAAGCAAGAAATGCGAAAAGTGCAAATTGTCAGCTGTGTTGATTGAAACATAAATCTAATGTGGATTAAATGAATTTAATGCCAAAAAATGTGTCTCGTGTAATTTGGCACCACTTGAGTTCATTGACTATTTTTTTTGTTTCAAAAGGGGAAGTGTTGTCGGTTTTTTAATCAATATTCAATACTTTTTTTCTTCGTTTCAAAGTAATTCTGTTAAAAGGGAAACTCTTACAGACTGAAGCAGCACACGACTGAACTAATGGTCAAAGACAAATATTCTGTGCAAACACAAATTCATATTGACTTTCTTAAAAAATCAAATATTCAATAAGCGTTTTGAATTTCATCACATTTTATTTATAATATATCTCACGTCTTTGGATATATTCAATTTCGCAATAGTTACTTTGAATATCGAGATAAAAATGTAGACTCAGAATATTAACCCAAAAAAAAGTCGTCTTGTATAAATAACAGAAGAAAAAAAAGGCAGCGGTTTGTCGGTGAAGACAGTCGATATCGATTGTTTGAATCTTTGATTTGCCGCATTTTAACTGAATATTCATATCTGAAATACGAACTGTTGCACGCACGGTAGTGTGAACCGTCGAGAGTGGTCATAAATTAAAAGCATGCAATTCGATTTCGGTTGATTTCGTTAAACTGAAAATCATCGCTGTGATATATCAAAATTTGCCATTAAAATAATAATTTTGTAAACAAAATGTCTGTAAATCGGAATGCCCTTCTGTGCGAAACTCAATGTCAAAAATAGTTCAAATCTTGGTTACAGCAGTAGACAAAGACACATGCACAAAAATACAAAATGACAAATAAATATGTGTGCCATATTGCAAGAAGAATGAATGAGTAAATAAATAAGAGCGAAAACCATGTGTTTTCTGTTTACAACGGCTCTTATATACAACGTTGTTTATGTACATTATCTATAATTCCCGTTTTGCAATGTTGCCATGCTTGCTGTGTGATATCGGCCGTCACATGTATACAACGAAAAGAATGAAGTGCGAATCGTAATTGTAGGAAGAAAAAAAATTTGCAACGCATGCACGCATTTAAATCAAAACAATGCGAACCGAAACACGGGATGTTGAACATTTTTCGTTTGCAAATCCAGACAAATACTTTTCTTCATATTGACATTCAGCCATCGTTTGGAATGAGTCATTCGTGCGATCGCACAGTGGTACTCATCAGCAAACATAATTGTTTTTCTTTAGCCTTGAAGCGAGAAGACAAAGAACCGAAGCATGGAACGAAGATAATGTAAAACACGAGAGAAAATTTGTGAGTTTCTTTTCTTATCTCGTTGAGTGTGTGCGAACAGAAAAGTCGACCGAAATATGACATGAAGAAAAAAAAACCAAGAAACAAAAAAGACTGGAAAAATGTTTCAATATGGAATTAGCAACATCGCCATGTTATGGTGAAATCATGTTGGTGCATGCAAGGATATTTTTAGCATTTTGCTTGTGATGCCCAATTGTATGTGTGCCAAAGTGTTACAGTATGTAAACGCGAGCATATATGTGTGATATTGCGAATGACCTAAACCAAAGTACAATTAAAATTCAAATGATGAAAGGAAAATATATATATAGATTTGTTTCTCTCTAGCGACGAGCAAAACAAGATAGCAGGTAGAAAAATGACAATAATATCTCCTTTTTTGGTCATTGGATCGTATTGCGCATACATAAGCCATACACACACTCCTTTTTCACCAGCAATGTGAGAAGCAGTGTGATGTGTACGAAGAATTGAAACGAGAGTAGATAGCCTATACAGATGTATTGAAAAATTCGTTATTTTAAAAACAATAACAAAACGGAACAAAAAGGCACAATTGTGCAAAGGAAAGCATTGTTTTGTTTTCTTTTCAATTGTGCAAATGAAAAAAAGATGCAATGTCTCAATGTTCTTATGCGCATATGCGTGTGTGTGTGGGCATACAATTGCAAGCCGTTCACAAGAGGCAGTGGATATGCCTATACCTGTTTATCGCATTTTAAAAATAAGCCCGCTCTATGTGCTCTCTTGCAATGTGTTTCTTTTTATCATACTTCTTTCCCCCTTTTCATTCTCTTCTTTCAGCGCTGATTTGCTTCTCAATTGTTATGCATGACGAACGTTAAATATATAGGCTTGTGTACTTTTTTCTTCTTCTTCTTCGCTGTTTCTGCTTTTTTCTCTCTTCTTTTTCGTGCGCAACATAAAATGATAGCATGACGTGTTGTTTCTGACATTTTATTGCTTGGAATATAAACTAGAATAGGAAGGGTTTTCGATAATTTTGATGGTAAATATGAAATTTGCCATAAATTATAAATTCATTCGAATTCACAGCGTTCATTTCGTATTCTATGTGAAATAACAACAAATTGCGATAACACCATGCCGTTGGACATACACAGAAATATTTTAAAGAAAAACAAACATGCCTACATACAAATTGTATCCGTTGACATGAATTTCACAACTAAAAAAATCAACTGAATAAGAAAAAAACTGAATGAAAAAAACACTCTAGAATGAATTTAGTTCGACAATAAACTCGGTTTCTTTTTGGGTCTGGAAGTTTCTATAAATCAATGACCAAGAAAATTTGGCAAATTTGATTTTGTGTACGCAATGATTGATTTTGTCGGCCAACAATTTACTCTAGCCAATAAATCATAAAAGCGTTTATTTTTCAGCATAAAAAAGGTTTTATTTCATTTCTTCTCGTTATTCATATGTACGGTGTACATGCGACACGCACAATAGAACAACAAAAAAATGAGATAAAACCGCTTATAATATCTACTGTCCCGTGTGCGTGTGTGTCACTTTGCCATTATATGCGAATACAAAATTAACAACACAACAGAAGCGGTTTTTAATTTAAACAAAGGATCTCAATCAAACATAATGAAGGATTACATGAAATTTGTTACTAAAGCAAGAGGTTAATTGAAAAAATAGGAATATATTCATTCTAAGGGTAGAAGTGAAAAAAATATGGCGAAAAATGTTTTACGCACCCAAGTCGTCCATTTCTCTTGAATCACAAGATGCTCGTCCAAATATTTCGTTCCAATTTTTTTTATTCACTTTTTGTAAATGTTTTTTTTTCTTTCTTTCAGTGCACTATTTATCTAAACCGCACAACAACTATGGATCATCCCATGGACACCCAAAACAGGAATGAACCTAAATGGCTTTCTGCCTGAGACAAAATATTCCAACCACTGACAGCTCCATGAACTATTTCACACACATACACTGACATCGACGACGGCATGAAATGCTCATGGCGGCCATAACCTTACTTTATTGAAAATTTGAAACCATTTGGCACTTGGTACCAACAATTCGCGCGAAAATGTAGTCGCTGAGTGGTGAAATTCTGGCAAAATGCGATTGTTTGTCGGTAGTGGTTTTTTGTTTGTGTTTTGGTTTCTGTTTGTCACATGGAATGATAGATTGGTTTTGCGCTGGTATTTTTCGCCTATATAGCCTATGCAATGAACTATGAGGACAAATGAAGCAAAAAATGAAATAAAATCCACGAGACTTTTGTCGATAGTACTAATAATGATAATTTATTCGCTTAAATTCAAGAAGACTTAATTGTCTAGCTATAAATTAGACTGCTTAATTTCGATATGCACCAATAATATTGCATTTTTATGTTGTTTTTTTTTTACAAAAAAAAACGGTGTGTACTTAAACAGTAGAGCGATTTTTATCTAGACTATTTCGATTACGGATAACGGCATTGCTCGAAATATTCACGATTCGAGTGATAATATGCGGCACACTCCTTGAAATGTTCTTTCAGTGTACCTTTTGGTACGAGATGTGTGGCATTGTATGGGCATGTATCAAGCGGTGGACCTGTGTATTTGACCTTACCTACGGGTAATCACATAGAAAAGAATGAAAATTATTCAGTAAGTAATGGTACTTTCTTACATTCTAAATCGATTTTGATATTGTGATTTTTTCAAATGGAAGTAATGGAAGTAATGAAAATAAACACTTACACTTCAGCAAATGGTATGGCATTCGTTGATATGGAACCACATGTTGTGCGTTGTACGGGCATCTGACCCATTCGGCATCATCAGATCGTTCCATCGTTGCCTTGGTTCGTCGTACGATTCGCTATCAACACAAAATAAAATGGACAAAATTGTGTGTTTAATGCAGTGACAACACGAAATTGATTGATTAAATTGCAATTTTCCTACTTATTTCTCAGATTCAATCTCGATGATATGATTTTCGTCAATTGTAATTTACGCTCTTTTATAGCAGCACGGATAACAATGTGCAATCGCAGCGATTCTCTTCAAAGTGTCAAACTCTTTGTTTATTACACATTTGTGCAAGTGTCACCACTCTCACACAGCATTCAGCACATTCCGCTGACATTCCGAATACGTGCTACTATTATTAAACTGGAATGGAATGGAACGGAAACCTGAAAGTACTTGAATAACAACATTTTTCTTAACAACAGAGAGAAAAAATTTCATTTGATTTTTGTACTGTTTTTTATTGAATGTATGGCTCATGAATAAAATTCAAAGAGCAAACATAACATATTGAAGATTAAACGAAGTTTTCGCCAAAAAAAATTGGTTTTAGTTAAATATTAAATGAAATTCAGCTACAGATAAAAACATCAATAAAATTGGTTATGGATTCCACAATTAAAATCGACAATTTTCTTCTCTAATATATATCGGTTGTTTTTTGAATATGGTTTTAAGTCTCAAATTGGGTTTTTTCTCTTTTGTTATTTTAATAATTCCATCCCGATTTAATTTACAACACAAAAAATTTACAAAGAAAAAAAATCTACTAAACTGGAAAATGGAATCAAGTAAAATGGATTGCACAATAATCGATTTCTTTTTTTTTTGTTCAAATTGCTTTTGAATTTGTGACATGATTTTGGTAACTTTTAAAACTTGCACTGGCTAATGCAAATGTAAAAAATGGTATTCCTTGCAACAAATTGATTTATTTGTGCTTATGAATACTTGATTTGTTCGATTTTAGCTCATTGGCCCAAACTCTTTTGTTCACATATTCACCGACAAAATAAAAACTGATTCCAAATATGCCAATGAATAAGATGAAACCAATGCGTTGTGGTAAATTTAGAACCTCTAAAACCGGATACACCCAACGGTCCGTCTTGAATTTGATGATATGAATCCAAATCACGTAAAAGATATTGAAAACAAGTAGACCGATGAAACCACTTTTGCCAGCTGGATATTGACGGAATGACACAAGCAACTCCAACAATATGAAGAAGACAATATTCGTATGCATCACATGATTCAACCAACTGCACAAAAAGGAAGAACATTTTTAATGTAAAAATTGTTTTGTTATCAATGTAGAAATTCCAATAAGATTCTTACTTTGGGAAGAACGACTCGAATGATTTAGGCAAAATTAATTCACGATCGATGGCATAAATCGACCAAAATGAAATGGCTACATTCATGGCCAATGGAAAAGCGAACGTTGCAAAAATATAGTCCTTTAGTTTACGCAGTTTTGATGGCCGTTTTGGGTAATTTTCATTTGTACCAATGACATCGTTGAGCACACAAAGTGTAAAATAGCTGGCTTGGACAATCTGTTGAAGAAAATAATATAAATTAAATGACAAAATCGATATTTTTTTCCGAAAATATTTGATGGCTGTGTTCAATGAGCACTTTTCCAAATACGAACCGCTCCGAGGATTGTTAAATATCGAAATTTTCCACCGAAACTTGTCAATGGCTTGTATGCGGGATGGTCTTTTGGTGGATACACGTATAAAAAGTCAAAGAATATGCCATACCAAAAATGAACAGCTGCAATTAAGTGCAGTGCATATTTTAGTGCCAAGAAAATGCCACGATTCCACATATCTGCTGAACCAGTCACCATTGTTGTGATTTTGGTTTTTCTATTCAATGAACTTTGTACTGATTTGAAACAAGAAGCACAATTATGATTCAGTAATTGTGTTTATTAATTGCTATTTAATTCGCGAACGAGCAAATTTCTAGTGTGAACTTTTGCGTTTTACGAATCAGACGTAAATAAAACACAAAACTGAACCACAATTGATTAAAACCTGTCGATAAGCTTCATTGAATCAGTTTTTTTTTATTTCTCTGTGTGATAAAATTGACAAGCAAATACGATGACAGTACTATCGCTGTACAAGTATGTATGTGTTTGAAAGTGTATACTCACATGTATACCACACACAGTGAATGATGTGTATTATAGTAGATGTTTATTATGCAGTGATTTACAGTATGAATGCGGCACTCACGTAACACTGCACACACTCATGTTGAGCATGTTGTACACAGGTTTTCCGATTCATGTTACATGAGACAGCAACAGATTTCAAGGTAATACACGTGTGTCCAACGCAACGATTTCGACATTTTAGATATTTTCGATAATTTATCAGCTTTAACATACGTCAACATCATAGCCACGCAATGAAAGTAATCAGTATTTTAAACAATGTCGACGAAATTGCGGTTCAATGGGGTTAATTACAATTTTAAATGAAAAAAACTTATTTTTAAATGTTTTCTCTCTCTTTCTTTCTTCCTATGTGAGAGTTGCTCTTACCAGACACCAATAGGTCAAATATCTCGAACGTCCACCGAAACCAGGCCGTGCGATCATATGCTTCTCGTGGTGTGGAATGACCACATGATTGAAATCATAGTACAATGAGAAGTAGTATTGACCCACAACGATTAAATGAAATAATTTCACCAAAATTGCCATTTTTTCACTCATTCAAATATTCAAAAGAGTTTGAAAATTGTGATTTCTTTTTCAATTATTGATACAAAAATGTCACCGTAATAATAACTTATTCACTACGACCAAATTGAAGTCATTTCACTAACTGAATTAGCGATAACTATCCATATTTGGTTGACCGTCAGGTTTTTTTCTGTTCAATAATTTTTAATAATAATTCTTATTGATTTTTTTGGACTTACAACACTAACCATTGGCAATATTTGTTATTTTAAGCTTATCTATGAAATCTTATCAACTTTTTTTCACGAAAAAGCCTTTAGACGGCTATTGTTTGCATTATCATAATGATGTTGTCAATGTGCGTAAACAAGTTATTCTGCATTCTATGCACATACGAAAACGCACACAACCGATTGCAAAGAATCAAAAGAAGATAAGGAAACAAGTTCTATAGCTTGAACGAAATGCGATGCAATGATGCAATGACTCCGTTAGTAATTATATGTATTTATCTGCGAATTGTAGCAAGTCTTGCAATTTTACACAGTATTTCTCATCGTTTTTGTGTAAATTTTCATTTCTTTATTTCAATGGAAAAACGTTTAGTGAAAATTGAAAGTAAAAATTGGGAAGAATTGAGGGAGCTATATCTGCCTGAAACACCAGAAACCATTCTAGGATTAGGAATCATTAGCAATTATCTTCGATGGATTCAACGAGATGCATCAATTGCCAATCTAACGTTTTACTCATTGAACGGAGACTGGTCGGACGGAACGTTTGTTGTTGTTGTAAGTGACAATTTATTCAAACAAAGAACATTTTTTTTTTAAAGAAAGAAATACGATGCAATATCATTTCTTCCAATAGGATAGATACCATGTCTATTTTGACAGTTTGAGCGAAACAAAAGAAAGACTGACAACATTACTAGACCTGCTTGACTATACAAATGGTTTCAGGATCATGCATGTTCGTTCAAAACACTATCCAGTCATGTTGGAAATAATCAAAAAGAAACATCTGCTACTCGAATACGACGATTCGAATCTATTGTACTATCTACCCAAGCACCAAGCAACAGCATTGTATACTGAGTGAGTGGAAATACAGATCAAGTAATAATTGAGTGAATCTTGTGAATGAACCAATTTTTAGGCTACCTGAGAACTTTGAGAGTCGATCACTCTCACAGGAAGATGTTATCAAAGCAAACGATGAATGGCCATTTAATCATGCTGGATCGCTTTTTTACCTGCAACGATTAGCTCAATTTAATCCCTGCTGCGGAGTTTTCACAACCGACGGCAAATTGGTGTCATATGGTTTTCAGTGAGTTTTTTCTTTTCTTTTTAAAACCCATTTGGATTTTGTCATTAATTATGCAAATTCATCTTTATCATAGATACCAATCGGGCACGATTGGAAACTTATACACGGATCCAGCTTATCGAAATCGAGGTTTTGGTTCATCAATTGCAAAAACCATTTTTAAACAAACTGGCGAACATGGTGGAGCAATTGCCACTGTTAAGAGAACGAATGCAGCATCGCGAGCAATTTTTGAGAAGATTGGATGCCAAGTTATTGATGAGGTTCATTGGATTGCAATTCCATGCAGATGGACAGAGGAAGATGATATGACACTCAGTGACGGATCAAATTAAATCATTTTAACCACATCAAATCATCGTTTTTAACAACGGTTTAAGTTGAGACATAACAGTACTTGAGTGACGATGGCAAAGGAGTGAAAAAATCCTTTTTGTTTCGAAAATTCATACATTTAATTTGCATCAACACCAACACAAAAGTATTGAGATAATTCTTATTATAATAATGTAATGGCGGACACCACATACTAAACTAAAAGAAAAATATATATTTCTTCATACATTTAGAGACTTTTTTTTCAAAGAAGATGAATTAAGAATTTTTGAAAAATGGCGGTTTGATTTTCGATATAAGGATGTATTTGTGTCTTCTATCTACATGTGGTGACCTCTGAATATACCGAAAAGGATAATAACCATGGCAACAAATATGACAGCTGCATTTTGTGTATGCATTTACATCCCTCTCTTAGAAGAGAGTACACTCACGTTTTTGCATTAAACATATATAAATATATATATTTAGTAAAAATTTATTAAAATAAAAATTCTACGTTTTGCGACAATGGAGGAAGATAAATCAAAATCGAATAGTAAAATACTGTGGATGAAAAAATTTTGCGCGCCAATCGCCATGTATATTTCGCCTCTAATCTTTTTTATCCTACTTGAGGTAAAGTTGCATTTTACCTTATTGATTTCTCAATTAATTGAAAACAAATGAAATCTAATTAACGTTTGTAAAATAATTGTTTAGTACAAGAATGTTGGAACCTATTTGCAAGATGCGTTGGCAATTTTATGGATGGCATCAACTTGTATTGCAGGTATTACATACATATAAAATATCTTTTGATTGAAACAGAAACTATTGTGAAATAATATATTTCGTTTGCAGCATATCTTCTGTTCATTGCATTTTTATATTTCGAAGTGAGAAGTGTGAGATCCAAGCAATGTCTCAACATTTTGCTGTTTTCACTGTGTACGATTGTTGTTGCTCTCTCAATTTTAATTTCAATCAAATTATTAAGAAATATTAAAAGCAACGTTTCTTGGTTTTGGTTGCTGAGCGCAATGCTAGTTTGCATAACCATTATCCACCTGCTAACGAATCTGTTCATTCATATGAACTTGATTTTTGATGAAATTTTCAAGGTTGGTTTGATTACAAAAAAAAAAACTTATTCTCACTTATCGGATGACTTTTTTATATTTCTACAGAGAAAACAAAATCGTTTTCGTTGGATTGCCAAAATGAGGCCATTTTTAGAGTCTGTCAATTTCATTGCGTCATTACTACTAATCTACGTAGTCGGTTTTTTTCAATATTTTTTTGATGTTTTAATGTTCTACACAAATTTAATGGTTTTTGGTAAATATTTCAAATTGTTATATTCCGATTTCATATATCAATATTAACTCAAATTATTTTTATGCAGTTCATTGTATTTTAAAGAAAACGCAATTTCCGGCCATAAGAGACCAATTTTCGATTAGAATAAAAAGTAAACTAATAGAATTTACAACAAATGGGATAAAATTAAATTTTATGACAATCACGATAGTATCGTTTTTGAAAACTTATACTCCCCTAATATGTATGGCGTTTATATACCAAACTTCATCCTCCTTTCATCGAGCCTCCTTTGAATTCAAATTCCACATGAACAACGAGAACTTCAACCCGTATTTGTTAATTCCATTCTATTTGTACATCAACGATATATTTTTACCAGGTATACATCCAATACATTCGAGCAAATTTTTTTTAATAATTTAAGTTTCCTTTCATTTTAGCGTATGAACTTTTCCTGGTAGATAAATGCTTTGAGCCTGTTCAGCTTCAACTGAAAGAAAATGAAACGGTTACGGTGACTGCAAAAAACTTTAAAATTATATTACATAAGCCAATACAGCAAAAGCCACGACTATACATGTATTTCTATTCAATTTTTGTTAGGCATTTTAAATTTTTTGGTTTTATTCTATTATCTAAATTTATGTATTATTCATTCGTATGGTCGGAAGAAAGCGATTGAAAGAAATGGCCAAAGTCACCTTTGAACTTTTGGTAGTGTGAAATCTGAGTGTGTTTTATAATCATTTTCATGAATAATTTTTTTTTGATTTGAAGTTCTTTTGAAGTAATCAAACTGTAATAAGATTTTCAAGTCATGGCTTGTACGAGAGAGTTGACGGGTCTGGTGTTGTAGAGGGGCCCGAGTTTAGTCATGCCTCATAGTTCGTTTTGAAAACTTGGGTCATTTAAGAAAAAAAATACACTTGGTAATTCTCTTCAGAAGGCTAATTCGGAATGTTTTTAAAATGAATACTTTTTTTATTCAAGATTTGTGAAAATCGGTATTGGAGGGTTTTTGGCATGAGAAAGCCGAATCCGGCGTTTATTTTGCGATAAAATAACGTTTGAATGCACTTTCCATACAACAAATGGCAAAAATGGTCCTAAAATCCAATTTTTCTATACAAAGTATGCTTTTTTGGCCTTGAAATGTCTAAAATAGCGTACAAATCGACTAAAAAATAACTCGCACAAAGTTTTATAGCAATCGAAAAAAATTATGTGTCGCTCAAATATAAAATACTTTATTTTTATTTCACAGTATTCAGTTCATACAAAAAAAAATTGGGAAATTTATGGATTTCATTTAAATTTATGATTGTCTTTTCTATTTTTCATTGAAACGTGAGTAGAAATTTAATTGAGTAGTGTTTTGATTATTCAATTATTTCGATTTTGGTTCAACACCAGACCCGTCAACTCTCTCGTACAAGCCATGACTTGAAAATCTTATTACAGTGTCATAAGTAGTGTGAATTTCATATTTTAAACTTCATTTCAACGATACGGGTGTCTATATAAATTGTACTGAACTTCAAATATTAATGCCAAATAGATCAGTTTATTGATGAGTAAATAAAATGGTAAAAAATATTATTTTGTTTTTTTTTTCTTCTCACTTGAGTTTCCCTTAATATTTTTGAGTTTTGTTTATTTGAAAAACCGAAAACTCTATACTTCGTTTTGCATTAGAATTATGACAAAACCACCTAAAAATTTCTTAAAATCTTAAATAACAGAAATTTTGTTATTCTAAAAAAACTCAATGTTTCATTGGATAAATTGAATTACAACTAATCAAATAAATTAAAATTCATCACAAAATTACTTGTTTTCAATAAAGTTCCAAGTAGAGTTTTGGTTTTTTTATTAATTTTGTTTAATCATTAAAGACACAGATACAAAGTGTGTTTTGCTTAATAATAATTTTGGAATTTATCGTTTCACACAACTTTTAACCAGTCGTTTGATATTTGCAAATGAAACAAAACTCGAAAGCAAAAAATCACAAAAAAGAAGCAAAACACTGTTATTAACATTTCAATTTTTGATGATACATATCTTCGGATGAAATATTTAAGCCAAAGAAGGAGCTCGATCGAAGCAAATGTTCCCAAAAATGGTAAAAGCATATACTGCGGCCAACTGGAAAAAGACATGTACATGATAAATTTTAAGTTAATTTTCAAAAACTTTCATATAAAATGAACTCTTACTTTGGTGAGATATGTTCGTAAGATGTGGGTAAGGCCAGTTCGTCATCGATGAGATAAGTTGTATAACTGCCCAAAACAATGTGTACAATGAATGGGAATACGATTGAGAGCGAATTGAAGCGAATAAGACTGTAATCATGAACATCTCTGGATGAACGCAGCATACACAGAAACAGGATGCAAACCTAAAATGTCACACATGAAATGATTTGAATATGTTTTTTTGTACCTTATCCTATTTATTTTCTGAAATAAATTTATTTTTCGTTAAATACCACTCCGTGTGCGATGGAATTCATGGGCATTGGTTCTGATTCATTATTCGGATTTTTTAGTGGAAAAAGGAACGCAAAATCATGGTAAATCCAGCCCCACAAATATGCAGCACCCAACAAATGTTCTGTATTTCTGATGAAGAAATACTGCATTTTGACTAATTTGATATTTGATTTGTAATGAATAAATAATTTGACTCGATATTTTCAAACAAATGACAAACGGTGCGATGTTGCAAATCACTTTGTTCAAATGTCAAAAAAAAAACAAACAATTTTCAGCACATTTGCGCATACACACGCGCACACACACACATGCACAGGATAGAAATATGCATTGTGAAAGATGCTGCGTTGCGTTGTAGCAGATGTTAATGAAGGTCGTGTTTGATGGAAAACCCATCTGACACTACCATTTTTTACTCTTATGAGTATTGAACAGACTCAAATCGACTTAGCAACATCAACTAAAAGAAAATGAAAAAGTTACTGTGATTGCAAAAACATTTAAAATTAATTTACATAGCAAAATCCGCGACCATACATGTACTTCTTTCACATTTTTATGAAGCATTTATGTAATTAATAGTAAGCAATCTACAAGAACGAGATTCTTTTGAGATTCTTTTGAATTTGATATTCTTTTGAAGTAATCCTAATGTCATATTTTAAACTTCATTTTAACGAAACAGATGTATCTATGACTGAAGATTAAAATGTTGTGATGTTAAACATGATGAACATTTAATAATCATGACACAAAGACGACACATGAAAAAAAAATATCAGTGTGGGTTAACTGAATTTAACTAAAGTTGTTTATTTTTTCAGTCAATAGTCGGCCAATTTGTCAGTTAGTCATTTTTTTACACACGGTTAGATATCCTTTCTAATTTGTTCTGTGATAAGTGGGGTAAAGCTGAAAATTTTCATTTTTTCATTTTAATTTTTTATTTGAACGTGCATATAATTCGAATACATTTAAGCCATTTTGCAATTACATATGAGCTTTATAACAATAAATATAATCTGGCATCGTGTTTCAAGAGATAAGAGTTCAGTGTATGATTTAAAACCATTATTTCATACTATATATTTTCTCTATAACTAAATAAGATCGATTGTTTATCATATTTTTTTAAATTCATTTGAAACCCACATGGATTAAAATCATAAATTTATTGAACTCGTCCCTGTTCTTTTACCTGAAGGGAGAATCACAAAAGAAAATAATCGAATTAATTTAAAATTTTAAACTAATCGAAAAATAATTATAGAACAATCAATAATAATTAATAAGCAATTTTTAAGTTCTTTTACCATTGGAAAATCGTCTTGGTAGGTGACATAAATCAGCCAATACAGTAGAATTAGTATGCTGAATGATAATGGAAAACCAATACGGGCACTGCGATCGATCAACGACACAGAATTGATGTACCTCTTTTTGTTGCCACCTAATTCAAAAAGAAATTATTGCCTGAAATTTAAGAAAATTTCACGAAAAACCTGACTTTTTTCGGTGGCTTCACGTTGTCTTTGTCTTCGGAATTTATCATCACCCAAGAAACAAAGCCATATTTGTTTCCACTTCTTTGCTCGTGGTGGTTCGGTTTGTGTGGTACGTTCCATAGTCGAATGTGATGATGACGGTGGAAACATTACGGATGGACCATCCTGTTTACATATTTAATTTTGGATTTGTGGCAATTTTGTCTTTGCACAGTATTTCAACAGAAGAACTAGAAAGACCTACATTATAAATTGGACAAATGATTGAGTTGCGTTTACGTGTCGATGTGGATTGGGCGCTCAACAATTGATTTTGACTTGGTGATACATCTCTGGAAACATGAACGGTGCCAGCATTTTCAACGGTTTCCGTTTGCACTTCTTCCCATTCATCGTCGGTCAGCGCCGGTATCTCACCACTTCCAACTTTTGTAAAATAATGAACACCAGCAAATTCCAATAGTGTTGCAATGCAGTAGAAGAAACTCATCAGCAAAAACCAATCAAGTGCCGTCGCGTATCGCACTTTTGGCAAATCAGTTCGTGAATCTAAGCTGCAAAATTGAATCCAAATGTAAATTGAATCATTTTAATTTGGCGAAATATTCGACAAAGTGGTACCTTATTGTTGAAAGTGTAAGCACCGTTGTAATGCCCAAGCCGACTCGATCGCTTGTCGCTTCGCGATGTATCCAGAAGGACACCCAACTCAAAACAACGATGAGTATGCATGGAACGTAAACCTGTAGAAATGCCCATGTTTCACTGTCTAACTGAACTTGTGAATTAAACATTGCTTAAATTACTTGAATTAAAAAGTATCCGGTGTGACGTTGTAAGTTGAAAGAGACTTGAACCACAGAAAATTCCCCTTCTCGACGTTTATACGTATAATTGCTCTGCGTCATGCTCATCAAATCGAATTGACTAAGGGTCATACCTTGCACAAAATTAACAGCTTTATTACTTTGCCACTCATAAACTAAAGATGATTTCGTGTATGCATATGAACCTAAAATCAGTGGACACGATTGTCGATCCTAATAAATAAATGTCATGATTTTAAAAGCGAATACATGAACATCTCTTTAACATGTAAATTACCATTGGAAAATTTCGCAACTCCATTGGACAAGATGCTTTAATCGTTAATCTAAAATAAGTTTGATTTTTTTATCTAATTCAAAGAGTCCGGAAATGTGTTATTTCAAACCTCATTGAATACAAAATATCTCCTTCTTGTGTTAGACGAAGCAATTTATTTGGTACGGTAATTGTATGCACATCTAAAAAGAAATTGTCGAAGGTATTTGTAATTTTTAATCCGATTATGAGTGAATCAATGGTAAGTGGAATAATATTTACAAGAATGTTTTCCATTAAAGAATGTTGAATCTGGCTTCCAAATCTTGTCGAGCATCTACATTTTTGTAACGAAACTTATGTAGGTTAACACCTTGAGATACATTTTGAAGAATCCTTACCTTGATATTTAGTGATAGGGTTTTCATTGGACCTTCGAATTTTAAGCGGCTATCTCTCCAGTATTGACGAAAATAACAATCCATCGAATATTCCTGAATGAAAACAAACAGACGATTACAGAATATTCATGTGCGTACATTAATTTTACGTCTTTTAAAAAACAGGCATCAAATTGCTTACCATATCTAGTTCGGAAATCGGTCCCATGCTTCGGATCAAAATATTTGTCTTAACTATGGTTGGAACGCCTGATTTGCAAAAATAATTGAAAATAAAAACTCAAAATTCAATATATTTTTGTGATTGCACAAACGGAAATGATTTTTATGCATGAAAAAAGAAATTTCAAACCTTGACCATGAGTCGGTAAATAATTGCTTTTATACGATCTAAAAAGACAAGAAAATCATTTAAAGAAAATTACATTCATGAAATAGTGCTCATTTCTAAAGGTATGTTTAATTTCAAAAGACAATTTTCTGCACACAAAAAAACAACTAACTTCAATAAACTTTCCAGCACCATAGTGATATTTGTCGATAGTTTTTCGCCCGATGCTCTTTTTCGGATTGCTGATCGATTCCGTGTCGGTTCTTGAATTAAATTGCTGACATTGTTCATGTGTTGATGATAGTATGCATGATACAGTGGTATATTGCTCAACGGAAACAGCTTCACTGGTAGTTGTGCATTTCCCTTGTCAATTTGATTCGAATTGTCAAAATATTGTTGCGCTGTGTCGATTTGTTCGTCATCGTGTTTCATTACTTTTGACCGGTTCGCAATCGGATTATGATGTCTAAATTGGTTAAAAACCGAGTTTTTTATTATGTGCTTGTGTTCATGTAACGCCTTTCATGAACCAATTACCTTGTGTTGTGTTGCAACATGCGCTGTTGCGTCAAATAAATCTCTGTGGAAAGCGTTGAATTTTTTATTGTTGTCGTTGATGTTGTTTTTGGCTTGCGGAAATTACCAGCTGATGCTACCGCAAAAATGAACACGATCCATAGTGCGCTGAACACTCTGACAAATCGAGAAAATGAAAAGAAACTTAGAACAACAACAACAACAAAAAACACATGCACACACTATGCATTCTCTTATAAGAGAAAATAATTTCTTTTGTTAGCGCAATTATGCAGAGGGTGGAATAAAAGTTGACTTTGAAACGATGTGTAGTTTTCTTTACATCAGCAACTCTTAACCTTGGTTTTGGTTTTATTGAGCATAGTGCTTCGGTTTTTTTTTCGTTTCACGCTTACACACAAAAGCCTTTTTATTTATCTCTCTATTACCGTATTGGGGTTAACATGCTAAACGGGTGGATATAACACACGATGATGATGATGATGATATTCTTAACTGCATCGTTTTTCGAAACAGATTGGAAAATAATGGGAGAGCGAAAGAAAGCAATGCTCATTGAAAATGCGCTGAAGTGGGAGTTTTCAATTTGTTAACATGATTCGTTACATCGACTTTCTTTACATTCTACCTACAATGTGAACAGGCGTCGAAAGGTATTTATTTATTTTTGTGTTTGACTGGATGCTTTTTTTGCAGCACATATGAGAGACATTGAGAGAAAAATGGAGATTGTGAAAATAAAATTCAATAAATATCATCACGATTGCATTGAAATCGTCTGGTTATAAATTTCGGGCATTTATCTTGCAACCGCAGCATTCAATGGAAATATGACAGTGAGCGCTTCAATTTACCAAATAAATGGATTTCATATCTACACAACGACACCGAAAAAAAAGAGAAAGAATAAGAGCAAGACAAGGAGAAAAAGGGGAGCCGAAGAGTGGTGGAGAATAAAGTCTAGAAATAAAAAGTGTTTGTAATGATATAATTCGTTGAAATATTTAGTGCAATAAATCAACGTTCACCTCTTATCGTATCCAATGAACCCTTTTACTTCAACAAAATATGCCTAAATCTGACTTTTTTTCCATATTTTCACTCACTTTTGCCAATATTATTCGCTTGTTCGCGTAATGTTCTTTTCTCAGCTCTCAAGAGTGAAATTAAATTTAAAAAAAGAGCTGAACATGAATGATATGTATTGTATTTTGTTTGTGGGTGAGAGACCAGTCATGCCTTCCTTAAAATGGCATTTTGCAAGCAGACAATTATGAAAAGCGATGTAAAAAATTCTTTTGGAAACAGTAAAAAAGCGGATAAGTGCAATTGGCAGAGATCAAGTCGAACACGAATACGAGATGTGTATTCAAATGGAAAATCGTCTCTACCAACGACGATGGTGCACACGTCAAGACGAACACTAACACATACACAAGCGCAACAGTAAACGTGCTACAAACTGATAACCTACTCATAATATAAAATATTTGTGTGTTTTTTTCAATTTTTTTTATTTATTATAAATTCTATTAATTATTTTCGTTATTATTATTGCAAAACTTATTCAATTTATACAATTTTGCAATTTTATTTGCAAGAAAAAAATATATGAGAACCTGGTGTGACAGAGATGGCGCTTCTTAAATCGAGTAGCGTTCAAATACATTGTCAATATACAACGCAAGTGATACTCGCTGATAACTCATATTTTGCGCTAGTGCAAAAACGATTCATAAACTTACTATCGTACACCCCGAGGTTCGCATAAAAGAACTAGCGCTTCTTATGTTGTATATGTAATTGTATGAGCTTTTAAAGCATATTGCGTATGATGCAAAGCAAGAAGGTGGCAGTGAGAAAGGGAGCGAGATCGCATCTCGGATGTTGTTGGAAAATCCTTTGTAATACGGAGAGACAAAAAAAATCACAAGTCGTTTGACTTAAGAATGGCATTTCAACAATGTTCACACGCTCTTTCATTGATGATCTAAATTCCGACTCCATTTTCATTTACATTTATGCAAGCACTGTGCTGTTATCGATTCAATGTTCGTCCCACTTTGCCGAAACATTCGGTTATTTATGACCACATGCAACTTGTTTAAACTAAATTAACATGAAAGCGAAAAAATCGATTTTCAATCAATTCCACACAGACACAATCTAATCGCTTTCGATCTCTACTGTGCGGTATTGAATCGTATGATTGCAAACAAATCGATTACTAATGATAATTGCTGACAACGCACTACGTTTCCAAAGTCCCATTTAAAAATCGACACACAGCTAAAGATACAGTGAATACACATTTGTCAACCAAAGTCACAATGATCTTGATAAAATGGTGTTGATTGAAAGTCGAAACCACCTTCACCACTCGTAAAAACTTAAACATAAAATTTTCCAGCAGGAAGTTATTCGCGTATATCTCTTATCATTTGGTTGAAGTTTATGATAGAGACATTTACATCTAGTGATATCAACTCATACCTCCGTATTCCGGCTATAGGCTTGACAGTCGTACATTCAAATATCATGATTTACATTCATCACATTTTCAAGGAGTTTTCGACTTGTTCGACAAATTGTTTGCCGTTTTCGTGCTGATGAACGAATTAAATCCGCTTTAAACTCCCTCCACATCAAGATTCTGGCTTTATTTATAATTTATATGCAAGAAGATGCAATTTGGTATCATACATTGAAGAAACTTTTAATAAATTCGAGCGCAAAAAAACGAAGAAGAATGAAGTAATGAATGTATGTCGTTTTTTTTGTAGTGGCCAAAAGATTTGCTGCAGCAAATGTTTCAAACCCGATTTGATATGATAGAGGTATAAGAGGTTAACCGATGTGTAGTATCAATGCCATACAATATTACATTAATTTAGTTTTATCTCTGCGTTTTATCCTTGGCCATCTTCATTCACATCACTTTCTTCATGTATGTGTGTGTTTTTGCAACGAAATCATATTATTTTGCGGACAATTCAACTCATTACTGTCATCTAACGCAGCACATATGCGAACATAGATTTGAGTGGATCAACCGAAATGAGAGAACGGAGATTGATAATTCGACTGTGATTTGTACATTTCAATGACATCATTTGTATTTATTTTTGTTGCTACTGCCGGTGGTTTCTTTCGAACGTCCATTTCACCGCTTACCAATAGAAATGAATTCGAAACATAAATATTCTCAGATGGATTGCAGACTGAAATGTGGCAAAAATTGAAGGGCTCTCATCATATTATGATAACCGATGTGCATTGCGGCTATTCACATCAAAAAAATATATTATCCGTTTTGTTAAAGTTTTTTCCTGGTTTTTGTTTTACCCATTTCACTCCATGTCTCTCTCTGTTTCGCTTTCTTCATTTCCCTCCCTTTGCCTTCATGTACATTTTTTTAATCATTCAAACCGAACATATGGATTGCACACACCACCAAAGCATAAAAGCAGACATTCAGTTAAATCAATTGCTGCGTATAAAATTCCACTAAATGTCTTCGTTCTTCTGGCTGTGATGTGGTGGTGTTGTGTATGTTCATAACGGAAATATGCTCATTCATCAGAATGTGCGCTTCATTTTTTCTTCCGCCATCCCATATTCCTTCATTGCGGACATTCATATAAATCCATCTGGTTCTTTTGTGCTCCCATACTTTAAATCAAATCCATGAAACTTACTTTGTTCTCATTAAATTTGCCGGAGAAATATATTGCTGCATGAAAAATGACTTAAAATGAAATAAAGCCGAAAAATGTTGGAATGTGCTAAAAATGTGTTGGCATGAATCGAAATTGGTTGGAAAATTGTTTGAATTGAGAAGTATTTTTTGACGCAGTTCAATTAACACCAAAAATTGTATCCCATTCTTTTGATGGTGGTCATCATTTCTCTAAAATGCATTACAAAGTGCTATTCCGGAACGGATTGTTGATAAAAATCAAGTTCTTTTTTATTTTGTTGTCGCCAGAAAAAGCGAACAACAACGGGAACAAAAAAAACTTTGTCGACGCTGCAAATGGGTAGGAGTAACGGCCAAAAATCGGCGTATGTTCTTCTTTTTCTTTTTGTCGTCACTTCATCCGAGAAACAGTAAATTAGTAAAAGTTTCGACGAAAGGAAGAAATGATGATATCATTGAGCAGTTAGCTATTTAAATGGCGATAGCATATACGTTCGAAAGAAAGAGACTGCAGATCATTATTTATAATACACTCTGTCGACATTTATACCGTTTGTTTGGATATATGGCATTCTATTGCCTCTCACGTCTCAAAAAAAACGCAAAAGATGCAAACAATGCGACCGCAACGCGAGCGCTCACCCAAACAACACCAAAAGTTTTGGCTTAAAAGGATTTTGACATAAAAAATGTTGTATCACGTCTTCTCCAGCACGAATACCATATCAAACCGAATTTGTTTCTATAATTTGACAATATGGAATATCTAACATAGATAACAAATAAACATTGATAACATTCACTTAGTCATGGCGACCACCACCACCACCACCACTGCCATCACAACCATTAATATTAAATGATCAATTTATGGGGTATTTGTGTGTCCATTGAAAAAGGAATTTGATGTTCGGAATCGGTTCAATTGGTGCAGACACCAAAGTATTGAAGCCAATCTCTATTTTTAGCCCAAAACATGGCCACAAAACTTTTGACGGCTTTGCATGGCGCACAACCACAAAAATGTAACCACAAGTGCGAGAAAAGCATTGGTGTTTGCCTTTTTCGAACTCTGGTCTGCTTTGAAGCATTTTTGTTCCATCATTTTGCATTTATACGCATTCTTTGTATCAATATTTGCGAAGCGACTATAGCGTGAGTGCGAAAGGGTTTACTCGGTACACAAAAAACGAAACCAGCACATTGTGTATTGTACAACTTTTTTTTTGCTGGGGGAATCTTTTTTTCGTCAACAACTAATTAAAAAATGCTTTGTGTTCCAGGACATATTGCAACAAGCTTCACGAAGCAGATGTTTTGCTTTTATATCGATAACTCTTGTCATATGTTTATCAATAAAATTGTTGGCAATATATGCAAAAATCAACCGCAAATTACAATCTTGTACCATGTTCACTTGTCATAACTGTAAAGTTGATGTCATTACTATGTACGC